TCAAATAAATTCTTGATCCCTTATTCTCTCTCTTCTCCTTCTGGTAACCCTATTATGTGGATATTGTTAAGTCTCATGTTGTCCCAAAATGCCCTTAAACTGTCCTCATTCTTTTTCATCCTTTTTTTCTTTTTGCTGCACTGATTGGGTGGTTTTTTCCTACCTAGTCTTCCAAATCACTGATTAGATCCTCTGCTTCATCCAAGCTACTTTTCATTCCTTCATGTGTATTATTGTCACATATGGTGTTCTTCATTTCTGACTGGTTCTTTATCATGGTTTCCATGTAATTTTTCATGCTGTTGTAGTTCTCACTAAGTTGCATGAGCATCCTTATTACCATTACTTTGAACTGAATATCTGATAAATCACTTGCCTCCATTTCATATAGCTCTTTTAGACTCTCCTCAGGTAATTCTAGTCCACACCACCCTCTCTCTCTGCTGGAGTCCAGAATGAGTGACTGTGAAGGAGATTTTTTACATTGGCCCTTCAAGAGGATGCATGTGTCTCCAGTGGATTCCATGTCTCTTTAGTGGACAGAAACCCCACTGCTTTTTACAGACAGATGTTATCTAGGCACCTCTTCCCAGCTCTGGTCCTCTTGGCTGGGGAGCCTGATATGGGGTTTAGGCTCCACACTTTTCAGAGGTAACTCCCCTGTAGGTGAGATATCCCTTTGAAACCTCAGCCGCTTCCCATGGAAGTGGGGCCAGCCCTTTTCACATCTCTGCCCTTCTTGATAATCTCCATGTGGCTTCTTCTGTAAATCCTTGGTTATAAAACTCCTCTTCAGCTAGTCTTTTTTTTTTTTTCTCTTAAATTTTTATTTATTGACTTGAGAAATAGAGAGAAGTAGAAACATCTAATCAATTTTTTGTTCCACTTATTTATGCATTCATTGGTTGCTTCTTATATATGCCCAGATTAGAGATCAAACCCACAACTTTGGCATATCAGGATGATTCTCTAACTGAGCTACCCAGCCACAATTCAGCTGGTCTTTAGTTGGTTATTCAGGATGATTGTTCTTTAATTTAGATGTATTTCCAATTTGGTCCTGTCTTGAAAATGACTGATGTATTATTTAGAATTATTTTTAAAGAATTCATTTACTTTTTAACCATTCTAAAATCGATACATTTTCATTTTCCCCAGCCCCTAGGCAATTCCCAGAATATTGTTTAAATGTCTAAACTTGTTTCAAAGGAAATAAAGGAAACATTGTGTGTGTGTGTGTGTGTGTGTGTGTGTGTGTCTGTGTGTGTGTGTGTGTGTGTGTTCTTTAAGATCAAATAACTTTGACAGTAATTGCCTGGTTAATCAGTTAAGCATAAACAATGGAGTGGAAGGGATTTAATAGTTATGGAGTGATACCAACATAAAATGGATGATCATTTCCACATCTTTTATTATTTTGGTGCTAATGAACTTTTGTTCCAAAGTGCCATATCTTCAGTCAACTTACCTAGAAGGCACTTATTCACAACCACTCTAGAACCTGTGATCTCTTGAGGGGTTACCACACAAGTTAAATAAGAGAACCTGGATAGCAGAATATTTTCTTCAGACTTCAGTGAGGTATTTTGAAGACCATTTATCAACCACTAGCACTTACCTTCTGAATATTCTTGGCTACTGACAGTGAGTGTAAAACTCATGGGAATAAGAGAAATCTCTTCATTTAATGACATGGAAATACTTTTATCAAACACTTAAATAAATTGCTAGATGTCCATTTTTAGTCTGGAAAGTGAATCAGGCCAGGACTTAACTTTTCCACCGTTAATTGATGATTCCAAACAGATGTTTAACATAGCATGTTTTGTTAGTGCAAACCTTCTTAAGTCTAGATTGCTTCCAGAGATGATCACCTGGGATTTCTCTTTGAAAGTAAAAATTTACAAGTTTGCTTATATGTATGGCTATGTCTATGAGAAAAATATTATAGCTAATGATATTAAACTGAATTATTAGTTGGGTGAATCTATTCCTGGTTATGACTCTAAGTAAATTCCTACCTGTAAATTCAGTTGTCCTAGAGAGAGAATCAGTTTAGCAATTATACCATTCCTTTTAGGACAATTTATCATTATAAAAAGGTACACAAATAATCAATGAGTTTTGTTGCATAGATTGCTTATGTGCCCCAAATTAATGTAAGTTGATTTTCTTTATTCATTTATTCAAATATTTCTTGACTACCTACTGTATACCAGACACTGAACCAATAAATGGGAGAAGAAAAATGCCCAATACCCAGTCCTTGATCTAAATAAAATCATAAGCAAAAGAGAAGAACTAACAATCAACACCACAGAAATACAAAGAATTACAAGAATCTAAAGGAGCAGGCAGGCTAGCAGAAGAGAGACATGTATCCAATAATTATAATTCAAGGTAGTCGATGATAAATGTTTAGTTGTTCTTGCTTCCGGAAATGCACTGCAACACTAATCCTCTGTTCACTACCTAGAGGAAAATCCTATTGCTCCTTAAAGATTCATTCCAAATGATTCTTTGCCAGTCTAGGCTTTCCTGGCATTCCTCATCTCCTCCACCTACCCACCTCCAACCCCAAACACATACATCCAAACCCATTCCAGCAGATTTAATTACTCCTCTGTTCCCAAAGCACTTTACTCATAGTTTTATTACAGCACTTATTCAATAATTTGTATTGGTTGTTTATATGCCATCTCTCTCGTTGTATTGTGAGTTCTTCAATAGTAGTTAATGAGGTTTTTTTGTTTGTTTGTTTTCATCTCTGTGTTCTTAGTCACTAGCACAGAAACTGCCATATTGTAAAATCAAAGTTTGATTTGGGGAGGAATGAGAGAATAAGCAAGCATATGAAAATCAAACAGAGAGATATTTAATATTCGTGGGTAGGAGGACTCCATATTGGCAATATGCCATTTCTTCCTAACTGATTCAATATAATTTTAATCAAAATCCAAACAAGTTAATTTGTAGATATCAATAAATTGATTCTGAAATTTGTATGGAGGGACAAAAGACGCATAATGGCTAACACAGTATTGAAGAAGAACAAACTTGGAATACTGTCAAAACTGTCCATACCTATAAGAATGTCCAAAATTTGAAGATACTACCGAACTTCAAATTTTACTACAAAGTTACACTTATCAAGACATTGTGGGATTAGTGAAGGAATAAATAGGTCAATGAAACAGAATATAGCACCCAGAAACAGACCTCCAGAAATAGTCATCTGACCTTTGACAAAGGATCAAATGCAATACAGTTAAGTAAAAATAGTATTTTCAACAAATACTACTAAACAACTGGACATCCACATGCAAAATAAAATAATTTAGACACAGACCTTACACCCTTCACAAAAATTAATTCAAAGTGGATTGAAGACCTAAATGTAAAACACAAAATTATAAAACTCCTGGAAGATAACAGAGGATAAAATCTAGGTGGCCATAGATATGGTGATGACTTTTTAGATACACCATCAAGAAATAATTGATAAGATGGAATTAATCAAAGTTAAATATTTTTCTCCATGAAAGAGAATGAAAAAACAAGCCACATAATGGGAGAAAATATTTGCAATATACACATCTGACAAAAGACTGTTATCTAAATTATACAAAGAACTCCTAAAACTCAACGATAAAAAAAAATACAGCCTGATTAAAAACTGGCCAAAGACTTTAATAGACACCTCACCAAAGAAGATATACAGATGGAAAATAAGCATATGAAAAGATGCTCCACATCATATGTCATCAGGGAAATGCAAATTAAAATGAGTTACCACTGCATACCTATAAGAATGTCCAAAATTCAGAACACTGACACTAAATACTGGTGAGAATATGGAGCAGCAGGAATTCTCATTTGTTGCTGGTGGACATGCAAAATGGTATGGCTACTTTGGAAGAAAGGCTGACAGTTTTTTATAAAACTAAACATGCTCTTACCACATGATCTAGTGATTGTGCTGCTTCGTATTTACCCAAAGGAGTTGAAAATTTATGCCCACCTAAAAACATGCACACAAATGTTTACAGCAGTTTTATTCATAATTGCCAAAACTTGGAAGCAACCACAATGTTCTTCAGGAGATTAATGGATAAATAAAATATGATATATCCAGAAATGGAATATTATTCAACACTAAAAAGAAATGAGCTATCAAGCCATGAAAAGACATGGAGGAATCTTAAATGTGTATTATTAAGTTGAAAAAGCCTATCTGGAAAGGCTATATACTGCACCATTCCAACAATATGACATTCTAGAAAAGGCAAAACTATGGGGACAGTGAAAAAGATCAATGGTTGCCGGGGTGGGGAAGAATGGATAAGCAGAGGATTTTTAGGGAAGTGAAAATATTCTGTATTATACTTATGATGATGAACATTTGTCCAAACCCAGAGACTGTACATCAGTGTGAACCCTGTAGTGCTTATGGGTAATTATTATGTGTCAATATAGGTTCATCGGTTGTAACCAGTATACCACTCTGGTGGAGGGTGTTGATAATGGGGACAGTTATATATATGTGGGAGTAAGGGTTATATGTGAAATTCCTGTACCTTCCCTTCAATTTTGCTGTGAACCTAAAACTGCTCTTAAAAAAGTCTTTATTTAAAAAAAAAAAAAAAAAACAGGAGGAAAGAAGGAAAGAGAAAGAGGGATAGAGGGAGTGAAGAGAGGAGAGAGGAGAAAAGAGAAAGAAACACACTAAAATGCCATCTGGTAAACTGTTTTTAGATTCTATGACTTCTGCCAGTTCAAGCTACATTGTTTTAACTCTTTTTTTAATTTTGTTTTATTGCTTAAAGTATTACAAAGAGTATTACATATTTTAACTCTTGTAAAGAGCTGGAATTAAGGCCTTACCCACCATTTTTCCATGATCAATTTCTGTAAACAGTTTTCCAGAGTGTACATTGATAAGTAATCTAGACAGTGAAACCGTAATACAACAAATTATTTTGCTTGTCATTTCTTTTTAGGTGATAATAATAGAACTGTGAACATGGATTCCACTGCAATGACACTACCTATGTCTGATCCAACTGCATGGGCCACAGCAATGAATAACCTCGGAATGGCACCACTGGGAATTGCTGGACAACCAATTTTACCTGGTATGCTATTTTAATCACCTCGCAAGTGTTTCTTTTTATTGACCATGTGGTCATAAATATAACAGTATGACACTTTGTTTTGATGTTGACATTTACTAGATTCTGCCTAGAGTGTGCATTTTTTGTAACATGAGCTTTATCAAGGCTGAGTGGCCAGTAGTTAACTAGTGTACTCCCTATTGACCTATGAGCAAGTTGGGGGTATATCTGAGGCATGGCATGCTCATTGAACATTTAAACAACAGGATTTGGCAAGGGATTATACAACTTCTCTAAATATATGGATTTCTTAGAGGAGGCAAATAAACATGGAGCTGGAATAAGAACTGACTGAGACATCCCAAAAATTTGATTCCTAAAAGGAAGGAAAGAAACATTTGGTAACTTTTCATATTTTTTTAAACAAGTTAACCCATAAGAGAATGGTCATGGTGTCCCTAAATCTATCTCCAATAAAGATGAAATCAGAAAAAAAAATGCCCAGTACCTGAAGGGTTTATAGTTTAGACACACAAAAACTATTCCTGGACTGTCAGAGCAATTGACCATTGAAATGGATTTGTGAAGACATTTATTAGGGAATTGCCATCTCAGGAAACCTGGCATGCTTTGTAAACATCCTAAATATTAATCTTCCCAGATTCATTTAATTATGTTCCTACTTTAAAGCATGACAGGATCAGGCCAGTCTAGGACCTTGCTACTCAAAATGTGCTCTGCATAACCGGGGAGTTGTTGCGAATCCGGAATCTCAGGCCCCAGCCCAGACATACTGACTCAGAAGCTGCATTTTAACATATTCGCCAGGTTATTCATAAGCACAGAAAAGCTGAGAAACAGGTCTAGAGTGATACCACTTTGTTGTGCCATTTGGTTATATAGTTAGCAACTCCCATCCCCCCAAAAATAACTTCACAATTCCAGACTAGATATTGAATTCTTGTAGGTTATAATGAGGGTAAGGTAGGATAGGCAACAATGATACATAATAATCTTCATAATAAATTAAGAAACATGATTACATTGAAAGCTTTGAAACAGGTATAAAAGCAGCCAAACATAACGAAAAAATATGTGCACGAGAAATGGGTGGAGAAATAAAAGGAGCTTGGATTCTATATGTAGCAGAGGCAAAGAACTGTTTCATCAAACTATAATTCATACCATGAGCTGTAGGTGACTAGCCCCCTTTGTTAACATCTTGTTTTCTTAAGGACTATGAAGAAATGGCTTCTCAGCATACCCTTCAACCTTGTGATCCAGTGACCTTTGAGCTATGATATGCTTCAGGAAAACTTACTGACTTCTTGAAAACCTGGTCTTAAAAATATTGATATTTAGTTCAGTAGTGTCCTTCTTGTCTTAAAAGTACATGTGGCAATATAGCTAGACTAGACTGGGACATGCTTTGTAAAGCCACACATAAAATCACTTGAGGTATGTGCGAACTCATTTTTCTCCTCTCTGTATTATTTTAGGAAGACAGTTTTACCAATATTAGAACATGGGCTCTGAATCTATACTGTGTAGGTTCAAGTAAATCCCTGCTTTGCCATTAAGTAGCTGTGTAACTTTTAGAAGTTACCTCTCTATGTCTCAGTTTCCTTATCTATAAAATAGAGATAATAATAACCCCTTTGTCACAGTGTTGTTATGAGGATTAATGAGTTAATACATGTAAAGTCTTAGAATGATGTCTGGCTCACAGTAGTCTCTCAATGAATTTGTCTATGTTTTAAGTTCACATGTGATATATAGCTCACAAAAAGTTGAATTATGGCTCATTTGTATTCTTAATAACAGTAAAGTATAATGAATGCAGCAGTGCATTTTTCCCCCCTGGAGAAGCACTGGATAATGGCAGGTGAAGAGAACAGTGTATGTCTGACAGTGCTAATGACTATTCCCTATAAATGTGGTGGTTTCTAAGAAATGGAAAATTGGCACCATACTCCACTACTGCCTACCTTTCTTCTTGCCAAATTCTGGGGAACAGGGTCCCTGCAATCTTTATTAAGTAACTAGAGGCCCGGTGCACAAAAATTTGTGCACTCGGTGGGGGAGGGGGGTCCCTCAGCCTGGCCTGTGCCCTCTCGCAGTCTGGGACCCCTCGGGAGATAACGACCTGCTGGCTTAGGCCTGCTCCCGGATGGCAGAGGGCAGGCCCAATCCCTAGGTGCAGCCCCTGGTTGGGCTCAGAGCAAGGCCGATTGGGGAGTTGGGGCGCTGCCCCCTGTCATGCACAGAGCAGGGCAGATCAGGAGGTTGCGATGCCACCCTCAGTCACGCACAGGGTAGGGCCGATTAGGGGGTTGGAGCACCGCCCCCTGTCACACTCAAGGCAGGGTCGATGGGGAGGTTGCGGGCCACCCCCTGTCACATACAGAGCAGGGTCGATCAGGAGGTTGGGGAGCTCCCTCCTGTCACGCACAGAGCAGGGCCCATCAGGGGGTTGAGGAGCTCCCCCCTGTCACTAACAGAGTAGGGCCGATAGGGGAGTTGGGGCACCGCCCCCTGTCACACACAGAGCAGGGCGGATCAGGGGTTTGGGGCGCCGCACCCTGTCACACTCAGGGCAAAGCCGATGGGGAGGTTATGGCTCTACCCCGTCATACACAGAGCAGGGCCCGTGGGGGGCGGTTGGGGCTTCGCCCTCTATCACCCACAGAGCAGGGCCGATCAGGGGGTTGGGGCGCTGCCACTGTCACACTCAGCAGGGCCGATGGGGAGGTTATGGCTCTACCCCGTCATACAGCAGGGCCGATCAGGGGGGTGGGGCGCCGCACCCTGTCACACACAGAGCAGGGCCGATCAGGGGGCTGGGGCACCGCAGCCTGTCACACACAGAGCCTCAGGGTGATCAGGGGGTTGGGGAGCTCCCTGCTATCAGGCACAGAGCAGGGCTGATCAGGGGGTTGGGGCACCTTCCCCTGTCACAAACAGAGCAGGGCGGATAGGGAGCTTGTGGCCCCGCCCCCTGTCACACACAGAGCCGCAGGGCGATCAGGGGGTTTGGGCGCTGCCCCCTGTCACGCTGATCCTGGTGCCGGGAGGCCTCACGGCTCGCTGATCCGGTGCTGGGAGGCATATTACCCTTTTACTATATAGGATAGAGGCCTGGTGCACAGGTGGGGGCCGGCTGGTTTGCCCTGAAAGGTGTCCTGGATCAGGTTGGGGGTCCCCACTGGAGTGCCTGGCCACCTGGATGAGGGGATGATGGCTGTTTGCAGTTGGTCACACATCCTTCAGGGTGGGGGTCCCCACTGGGGTGCCTGGCCAGTCTGGGTGAGGGGCTGAGGGCTATTTTCAGGCTGGCGGGTGACTGAAGCTCCCAACCGCTCCTTTTTTTCTTTTTTTTTTTAATTCTGGGCCAGCTTTAGCTCTGAGGCTTGGCTCCAGCTCTTAGGCCTCGGCTGCTGAAAGCAGGTATCTGGTTTGTTTGGGTTCTATAATCGAAACACTGTTTCAACTCCAGCTCTGAGATCCCAGCTGGCTGAAAGCAGGTTTCTGGGGTTTTGTTTAGCTTCTATATTTGTAACAATGTTTCAAACTGCAAGCTCAGAGGCCGGCAGCGGCAGGCGGGGAACGTTGGCGTCCTCCGTCACTGAAGCAAGCAAGCCTCATGTTAGCTTCCAGCTGCCTGGCTGCCGGCCGCCATCTTGGCTGGCAGTTAATTTGCATATCGCCTGATTACCCAATGGGAAGGGTAGCAGAGGTATGGCTAATTACCATGTTTCTCTTTTATTAGATAGGATAGGATGTTTTAACAACTGAACAGGATAAAACATCTCCCCAATTCTCTTCCTACCCATCAAAATTCCTTAAAATGGAAAAAGCTGCAATGAGCCACATGGAATTGTTCCCTGAGGTCACCATTGATGGCCCCGTAATTCAGCTATTTTTCTGTCCCTTGGGAGATTTCCTATTGAGCCAGTAGACTTTTCTTTGTCATGTCTTCTCTGGCCTATCTGTAATAATAGAAAAGTCTTTTGGCCTTGATTAAAACAAATGATAGATAAGCTTCCTTGTCTTCCCCCAGAGCTCAAATCCATATTAACATGGATGCTGAGTCTCTTAGACTCATAGTTGACATCAGAATAATGTCTGGCTTATTATATTCATTGAATGGGGAGCAGAGACAAACCATCTCTAGGGTGTGGTGTGGAGCTTCCTTTCATCGAAAATGGTGTTTTGTACAGCTGCTGTTCAATAAAGTTAATCCACAATGATGGCAGATTAGGAGGTCTCCTCTGGCTACTGGCTTTCTTTCCTGAAAGGATGTTTCCTTTTCCAAGCTAGTCAAATAAGACTAATGTTAGATTTCACATGGAAAGATGCACCAAAAAATGTTAAGCCTTCTGTTTAAGAATCATTGTTCTGCCCATCATACCAGCTAAACCCAAGGATAGACCAATTAAGGGGTACCCTTTGAATATTTCATGTTGCTTCCTTTATTTTTCCCTCAATTAAATTATCCTTAGCATTCAAATGTGGAGCTTGTGAAGACCCAGGAGGAAAAGAGTCCCTCATTATGTGTTTCTACTGTATTGACTATGCCTCCTCCATAATGAGAGATGTTGGAAAATAAGTACTTATAGAACTTATTCCCAGAGCAAGACCCTGCCCTTCTATGAGCATTGTACTTCTTAAGAAGGCAGTTCTTTAAAAAAAAAAAAAACTTATTTTTATTGTTGAAAGTATTATATATGCCCCTTTTTTACCCATTGACCCCCTCCATCCCACACCTGCCCCCTCAAGCCCCAAGGAGATTCATGGTCCAAGCATTCTAGCCTTCATTGTAATGTGAGGTCTTCCATAGTAGTTAATGAGAATTTTGTTTTGTTTTGTTTTGTTTTGTTTTCATCTCTGTGTTCTTAGTCACTAGCACAGAAACTGGCATATAGTAAAATAAAAGTTTGGTTTGGGGAGGAGTGAGAGAATAAGCAAGCATATGAAAATCAAATTCTAGATACAATATTATGAGAACACATAGGAGGGAG